ATTATAAAATTTCGTTTCTTTGGTGGATTCCAAATTTGATTCTTCAGATTTACATTCGTAAATCTTCGTCTTCCGTTCTGCGTCAGGAAGATGATTCTCTATTATATTTGAAGACTCAATGAGGGAGTTGAGGTCCTTTTTAGGCTTCTCTCTATTAATTCATTGAGGAAATGTACTCTATCGACTATCATATTGGAATACTTGATAAGTGAGTTAATCTCCTATCTAATCCTTTCTCCATTGACTCATTGAGGAATTTTATAAAAGCCTAAAAAGTGAAGCTAAGCTGAGAATCCAAAGTGGACTTACATTCTTTAACTTGCACTGAAGGAATTTTAAGGATTGAAATAACATTTTCTCATTAATAGCCCCAGATTGTAGTATATGGGGTCAGAATTCTTGGGATTGAAATAGCATCCCTTGTAAATAGTCTTGAATTCAAGAAATATCCAGAATCAAATTTCCAGTAAAAAAATATTAGGAATTGAAAAAATATCTGATTGCAAGGATACACAATTATATAAGTATCATATTTCTTTTTCGTACATGATGCCTTGTTATCAGCAAGAGCCCATTTATTTTGCTTCGACCTCAACTTAGTATAATTACTGCGAAAAAACAGTAGAAATCGTGCAATGGCCCAAACTCAACAATTCAAAAATTCAGAGCAAGCAACTAAATATCAAAATCCTTCCTTTCACATAAATATGAATTTCGGACTTGGAGGCTAATGTTACGTGTTGAAATAATTGTTGTCCACCAAGATTCCATATAATCCATAAAAAGGCCCATTGAATGCTCAAGTGTCTTTTGAATATTCGCACCTCGGCCCCCACAAATGAAATGAAAGATACATCATCGCTTAAGTACCATTTAAAAATGAAATGCATAGAACCATAACACTTGGCTAAAAACACGACTTTATGCCTCAACCATCAAAAGTTCTAAAGGCCTCAAACTAAGCTTAGAATATGGGTCAACCTAGACTCGTATGCAATAAAACATGTGTACACAATTGATTGCTCGACAAATGTTTCAAACACACAAACCTCAACAAAATCTTGAAAGTTGGACTTAATCGTAACTTTCAAAACAATGATAAGATGATGTCAACTAAAAAAAATGACTAAAAAACTCTAAAAAGGCCTACAAATAAGGACATTTGCACAACTAAAAAGGGAGTAGAAAATTTAAGGTCCATACTTTCACTCTCTAAAATCCGTCTCATATAAAAACAAATTAAGGATCAACACTTTAAAAATTCAAACATTCTCTAATTGAATAGCACTTTTCCGGTCAAAATAACACCAAAACCACACCCCCTTTTTTCTTCCTACATAATTTGGTTACTAACCACACCCAATTCGTCCCCTCCCCTAAAAGGGGTAAAACTACCAAAATTCTGGTAGAAAACTTGACCGTTCATTCTTAAATTATTTGAGGTCAACAAATACCAATATTTATTTATATTTGACTTTCTCGAATTCTAATATATACATGAATGAAAAAACTTTAAATATAAAAAAATTCTTCTAACTCCTCATCTCCACCATATAGGAATTGCAAATTCGTAACATATGAGTGTTATTCCTCCTCACTCAATTTATTGTTTCATATCTTAAAACTAAGTGCAAGCAACGTGCAATACACGTTTGCTTAGTTTATATTTAATATTTTTGTTTAATAATTAATTTTTTATTAATAAAGATGTAATTTTTTTTGGTTAATTAAGGGCGTGTCTGGGTGCGCTGCAAGGAGGAAGGAAAATTGATTATGTTATCGTCTTTTTTCAAACCTACAGCCCTATAGTGAGAGAATTGGTCCAAAATTGCGGCTCCCAACTGCATGAATTGTGTTGCCAACGGCTTGATTTCTGCTGAAAAACAGAAACAGACACCCTATAAATAATTAATGA